TTGTATTATATTCAGGGAAAGGAGAGTTAAAATACTGTTCAATACTAAAATGCAAATATCACAGGAAAATAATATATTTTGGCCTTAAAAGTCATTAGAGAATTATTGGACAAAGGCATATGTTTCCTGAGCAGAGACAGAGCTATCACCATATTATTAAAAGAGAAACTCTGCTTTCTTGATAAAGCAATTAGGAGCCCTTTGCTCCTAATACAAGATAACAATCTTGTGAACTTAAAGGGCAGTTCAAGCACTCAAAAGATGAATCTTGAAGAGAAATCTGAACATGCTATTCCTAGCAAAAGCTAGGGGGATAGTACTAAGACTAAGGAATGGGCACCTGGTTGGGAACTACTCTGATCCCAGAAAGCAATAATTCTTCATGCAATGCTTCACATTTACTAGGAAGGCCACATTATAAAATCCTTGCAATACTCCTGCCCACCAGTGTAATGGTATCCATAATCCCCATTTTAGAGACTGGGGCAACTTGAGACTTGGGGAGGTTAAGGACTTGTTCAAGACCACACAGACTAATACATACTTTTTAAAAATTTAACTTAATTTCTGAAGGAGGCTGTTTAGAGAGGATAAATGCACTATGAGAAGTTCTGTGCAGAAATTATAGTCTCTCTCATAAATTACTAAACTGGCTTTTTAATGCAAATCAGTAACCCTGGGCACAACTGGCAATCTCTAAGAGCCTGTTCATCCCAGAACAACTGATCTTAACCTTGAACAAGCCACATTGGAGACCACAGCATGTAAATTTGGGGGACAGTGAGAAGTGGATTTTAAAAGGCAGGGTTAAGAGGGAGAAGAACAAAAAGAGGAGCACAGCTTGAGCATGAACAAGGAATGACAAAAAAGGCCCAAAAGACTGGGAAGGTACAAAATCAAGAAATCAACAGTTTTCTGCAAACTTCTTTGTGCCATGCACTCCTCTGGTATTGTTACTTTTATTCGTGATTAAGTATCACCTTACTGCTGATTTGTACACTGAGATTACATGGATACAGGTAACGGCCTATATATATATTTGAAGCAAAGTAAAAACATTTAGAAGACTTGCTTTGTGAGAGACTAAGTCAATCAACAAAGCAGACTGACCATGCCCCTTTTGCTATTGCAGGGAACAAAGACTCCTAGCATTTTGTGGAGATATCCAAAGAATTCAAGTAGTTATGGCAGTTTTGGGCAAGGACCCCACTTACATTTCAACTTAAAATTTCACAAGGCTTTTTAATACAACACACAGTCTGGTGATCGCAAAAGAATTCTTCAACAATGGAACTTATATGTTAAAGAAATTCCTTAAAAATAAATTAATATGACAATGTATCAAGCATTGCATTCATTCTAAGCTTACAGGGGAAGAAAAAAATACACAGAACACACATAGGTTATGTAGTGTGTCAAAGTTCCATAAAATAAAAAAATTCATTTTGTACACCCTTGACATCGCAGGCACCCTTACACATGTGTGGGACAGGTTTAGATCTTAGATAACAAAATCCCAAAGTAAGGACATTCTGCCTAGATTCAGAGATCTGGCTCACAGTATGGCTTCTGAAATGTAAATTATATTATGTTTGATAGTTTATATTATTAACAATTATATGAGACATTTTGAAAGCATGGCTTGGGGGAATTAAAATTATTAAGTGTAAAATTATCATAAAAACTATTGCATTCAGCCATTGGTCCAGTATCTGTTGACGTAAACATATTGCATTCACCACTTGGAATACCAAACTATTCAAATACAGTTCCAAGATAAATAAAAAGAAGTAACTAATAAAAGTTGGGTTCTTGGCCAGTCTGGACTACTAAATTAAGCCATTTTAGAAGGGAAGAAAGTCTGGCTTCTCAAGATGCTGCAATTTCATGATTAAATATTTTTATCTATTTCAGTGTTTTCCAATCGATATTTCAAGCTGAGGAAGCAACTTAAATAGTTAATGAGGAAAATGACATAGCTATCACTTGGAAAAAAATATTTTTCCCTCACAACAGGCTACCAGATCCTAGGGACAAGTAAGAATCTTCAGGATTCACTCCTCATGGTAAAAACCTTCACGGCCATGAAACCATCCTGCCAGCCTTTCCCAAAAGCTCAGATGCACAACTTACACCTTTAGGATTGCAACAAAAAAATAAAAACACTTGGAATTCTCATCTTTCTATTTTAAAACAAAGAAAGACCTTAGGAGATTAGCTGGCTCAAAATTTTCCAAAGTGGGTTTCATGAAACATTATTTTTCAAAAATGTTCTTAATAACGGCAGGGTGATCAAATAAGTATGAGAGCATTCTTAGAGAGTCATAATCACATTAGGTCATGCATAACGCAGAGAAGGCCTACAGAAAGGATCAGACTTTTAAAAAAACTGAAATTTTCATCAAACCTATTTGAGCATAGAACCCTTTTTGCAGTATTTATTAAAATCCTGTGTAATTAATGTTTTGTAGAAAATACCTTATCTCATACAAAGAAACTGAAATCCAGACAGGTGAGGTGACTGTCCCAAGGTCACACAATTAGTTGGTGAATAAGCTAAAAACAGACCTCACCTCTCAGGACCCCATCAGGTATTCCTTTTGGTACGATGTTGTCTTTCTTCTACAATACCTACACTCCTTAAAGGATCACAGACTAAAAGAACCACATCTTGGAGACCACCTAGTCCAAAGCCCTCCCATAAAGCTAGGGAAATACAGTCTCAGAAAAGTAAAGCAGTTTGCCCAAAGTGACATATAAAATTCATTCTTGTAGAACTAGAACATAGCTCTTAATTCCAACACTAGTATCTTTCCACAACAGCATGCTAATTCCTGCAAAGCCAACACTTTTGGCCTCTGAGGTAAAGAATTCATGAACAAGAGGGGTTTTAGCTATTAAGGGCCCATTAAATATTTATTAAACCATACTTGTGTCAATAGATACTTTAAATCAATTAAACATGATTGTCTTTACTTACAAATGTCATCCATTGTGACAGGGAATCAATGTTTCAAGCTGTTGAACAGGTCATCAACCCTGTCCTGTTGGATGACACCTGTAAATAAAATAAATCTATTTTTGAGTGAGTAGATTTTAAGCCAGCTAGATTTAAGATGCATGCGGTTTAAAGCAAAGAATAATTTTAAAAATGATTCTTAATTATGTACTGCTGCGGAGAGATACTTCCCAGCGCCAGCAGTTTCACTCTCAGTAGCTATTGCTGTCCACCAGCACAAAACAATCCAGGGAATTCAGCACAGAAAGTTGCTAGAATACATAGGGAACCATGACTCCTGGAGCTACAAGGGTCTTCTAGGTATCTAGAAGATACCTAGTGAATATCACTTCCACTTTGATGGGGGGACAACCAAGGCCTGGTGAAGTCAAATGACTTGCCTAATGTTAAACAGCTAAGTGTCTTTAGCTGAAGTCCCTTGGTGTTGGAAAGCACGTACAGAATGCATTAACAAAGGTTATCACTAGGCTGATCAATTTTGAAGACTCACATGTACACATTTTTAAACATTTCACAAATGCTGACTTAGAATGTTCTAGCAAATCTGCAAAGAATATAATGTCAGTATTAGATATTCAAATATAAGCATTACTGAAAAATGCCATAGATGGAAAACCAACCAATAGTGAGAAAATAGGAACTAGACCATGAAAAGAACAATATTAAATACAACAGGTATTTAGGATTTTAAGCTCTGGCTACTTCCAAACAAGATTTGTGATTCCTAGCAAATATGAATATATAAAAAACCATTTTTACATATTTTCTACAGTTTATCCTTTTAAATGCTGATTTCTCCGTAGCCACAAAATGCCAATGTAAGATCTGCCAAAAGCTAAAATTTGAGCTGGACACAAACTTTCTTATTTTCATTCTGTACCCAAATACTCTAAGGTAATGGGAAATTATTTGAGGATGCTGTCTTGAGGTAAGATGGCTGCTATATAATAACATTACCACCAGACTTACACTGAGTGTCTACATGTGCCAAGTGCTGATGGAGCATTTTACACTAGCTATCTCACTCACTCCTCACAGCAACTTGACCATTATCACAATTTTACAAATAAGACAATCAAAAGCACAGACAAATCAGGTATTACAACTTGCACACAGATCTATTTGGTGATAGAATCCAAGCTCAAGACCTACTGCATTTCTTTGATTTAGCAATTGAAGATACTTAAAAACATGACTATGAATTAACACAGTTCCAATTACAATACATAAAATGCCCCCAACTAAATGTCACACATTATAAAACATCAGGAAAATCTCTTACTTTTTTCTTGGGGGTGAGTAGGAGGCTGGGGACAATTTTCAGAAGTAAAATAATCTTAATGCCAAGAAATTAAAACTTTTATGTTAACCTGAAATATATCACAATTAAAATATGACAGCTAAAAAACTTAAATTGTCCTTTATAATTAAAGAAAAGTAAAAGTAAATCATACTCATTCAATTACTTCTTAACAGATTATAAAGAGATAAATCGTCCTCCTACTCAAGAATGACTCCCAAAATGTGTGTGTGTATATACACACACACACATAACATCTTGCTAAGAACACAACTATTTATAAAGTAAATTATCTTTAAGGAAAACAGAAAAGTAATTTTGTGAGACAATGCAACCCCCTCAATTACTTATGTAATAGTAGCTATCTTTTCTTGACCAGGAGTTATGCTTCTGACCAATTCCCTGAACTATTTTTTATTAGGGGCCATTTTTCCAACATAGTTTTCAAATTGTGAAACGGATAAAACAGAACACAATGAGGAATATAAAAATATACCTGACATATTTTAATAGAACAAGAATTAGTTATATGCAAAGCTCAGCATCACAGAAACTAGACATTAAGAAAAATGCATATACTTTCCAAAGCACTGTGGAGAAATCAATCTCTTCTGGTAATAATGGCTTTCTTAAAAGAACCCCAAACAGAAAAAGATAAAGTGTGGTTTCATAGTAGCTTACCCTTTTCTCTGACACCCCATCCTGGCCTGTAGAATCTCTCTCATCATGTGTCTCTTTCAGGACTGGCATATGTTTTTTGTATGCTGGCTCTCTGTTTAAGGTTGTGTATCCTATGTGCTCATATATTGGGTTTATCGTCATCTTGGCAATGTATTCTGCTGCCTTGGTTTCAATATAGAGAGTAATCAAGCCATCAGTCACCAGATCGTGGATGGACTCAAAGCGTTTCTCCCCAACAAAGTGCTTGCCATCGTAGTAGAGCCTGAAGTTTCTGGTTTGACTTCCAAATCTGCCTCAATGAAATGGGAAAGATGTTTTTAAGAAAAGTAAGCAACTGAATTCTTTCTGAAAAACAAAACAAAACAAAACAAAAAACTATTGCTTTGTTTTGTGTGTATCTTCTTTGTTTAAATAAGCTGTGGCTAATCTCTCTGAATCGTCTGGAATATATAAAATTAAACCTTTGAACACAAAGAATGAACTTGTAATAACTAGGGACAACTAGTCAAAAGCAAGCCTACCATAGAAGGAAGAATTTTTTTTTATTTATCTTTTTAAACCACTTTATTGTGCCTGTGGAAAAAATGGGAGAAAATAAACCTCACACCACATTAAAACATAGTCAATATTCAATTGGCCAACTCCATAATAGATGATATTTCTATACTAACATTTTTTCTTCAAGTTGATCAATAAGAATATTCAATGTACTTTAGACCTCAGCAGTCATGTCTTTTAAAAGGAAAGCTCCATTTAGGGCTAACCAGAATATGATGCCGGCAATCAAAGTAGAGCTGACTCCAGAAACCTGAGCCATGCAAGGCAGCATGGCACAGAAACACACTTTTGCTACTTCTAGCCACAAGCCAAGGACTTATTCTTTCCTTTTTAAAAAGTCATTATTCTGTCTGCTGGTTAGGTCTGTGCAAGAAATGTTTGCAATATATATATTGCACATATATGGCACAAATATGGCACAAAAGTCATAAGCTACTGGACTACAGAAATTCTGTTTTCAATTTTATGTTCTGATGATGTGCTCTAACAACTGAAGAATAATGGTTTACTTTTATGATAATTTCAGTATTTTGTTTCCTGCAGCAAGCCTCAGAAATGGATCCAATTTGGCATGATTAACATCAGTGTCCTTGCAGGAAGACACAGGCAAGAAAATGCACTGACTCTAATGAAAGCAGATGTCAAAAGGCAACATGGTAACAAGAGCTGCCAATGTCATGGTCTCCTGAAGGTAACCCTGAGTGAGACTAATTAAAAACTAAACAAGTCACAAAGGATATATTTAATTTCACTGTTAAAAGTACACAGAACAGGGATGAACTAAAACACTAAAATAAACGCTGTTTAAGTAAAGTGTTAAATGGGACTACAACCTTGTTACATAACAAAATTGTTCTGGTGTAGGTTATATTCCAAATGGATAGGAGTTAGAAACATCTTAATGTGGAAATAAAATATGGAAAGGAAATAAAACATTTTAAAAAATAATGGCCAGAGGCATGTCTGTTTCTTTGGTTCAAATTAGACTTTAATAACGATTTAATCTAGAATCCAACGTACTATCCATGTTGGCCCTTCTAAAGTATAATTTATCCATCCTTTAGTAACAATCAAATTTTGATTTACACTTAAGTGAACTATCCATATAATTAAACTTTCTTGTTCTCCATTTTCCTCTAATGTTAAAGACACATTTCTCCCAAGCAAATTTTCATTATAAAGCCTAAAAAATTAGAAAGGTGAAATTTCTACAGCAAAGTTAAATACAAAAGTTTTTCAGTTTAATATACTGCTTTCATCATTTCCTTTTTTTTCTAATATACAATATCTGCAACATGGAAAGTAACTTCATAGCATTTACAAGACTCTTACAATAATAAACACACATAATACTGAGTCCCTTTATATTTCAGTTGTATCAGAGACATTTCAGTGAGGGCTCAGACCATTTTACTCCTGCTGGGACTTACGATTTTACAGTGGGCATTTCCACAGTGGATATAGCATTTAAAAACAATTCAACAATGGTGTCAGTCATTTAAGTACTCAATTGCCTTCTGAAATCTGAGAAGTATAGGGGGCACAGGGCATGAAGGGAAGATGGCTGCACTGGGAATGGTTTGACTGAAGAGTGGAAGTCTATCTAGAGTTAACTTTCTTTCCAATGGACGATGCCTAATTCATCCAAGAAGAGGCCTAGCTACCTGAAAGGAGCTGTGCAAAAAACCCCATTTGTCCTTTTCTCTTCCACAACTCAGTGACTTCAGAAGATCCTGCCCACAATTTCCAATTCCCGCTCCGCCTGTACTTCAGCTCCAGGCTTCCAATTCAATAAAACTTTCAGTCTAAAGGGAGATGATCAGATAACGAAAAAAATTTATAACATGGTTTGATTAAAACTTGGCTTCAAAGGGCAAAAAAAAAAAAAAAGAATTTCCATTTTGGAATTATGATTGATCTTTTTAAAGAAAAATTGCATTATATTTTACTAAGAGAACTGCCAAGCTTTCGTTGCCTACTCTGAGCTACTCTCTTTAACTTGGGAAGCTACCTAGGAACAGCACCACAGCAAACTATCAGAGACTTCTCCACTTTATCTGAAAGGCATATTGTGCTTTGTGGGATTAGAAGAAGAGAAAGAGGACAGAAAATCTTTGAGAAAGGAGCGAATGGATGTGCCTATTCTACATAGGAAGAGCCATAAAGGGGGAGATTCCAAATCTAAGGTCAAAGAAAGACTCTTTCCTTGAAGTTCACTGCTTGCAGATTGTCATTTATTCAACAAATAGTTAACAAAACACCCAGGTACTTTACTGTCAAGTATTAGGTGGTTCACAATAAAGTTCCTAGTCCCTTGGTAACCCCAATGGTAAAAAGATAAACATAAAACAGGGTCAATACAAAGGCACAAAATGCTAAATTTAAAAAAGTCCATCTTCAGATTGATTTATTTTAATAACTATATACATATAGAATCTTGCTCTTATGTAGAAAGATTCTGTAAAGTGATTCACAAAACCAAGTGAATCCAGTATCTCCCCCACACCATAAAACCAAGAAACTCACTGCCTAGTACAACAGAGCACAACAGTTAAGCTTACATAAGATCTCAGAGCTACTGCTTATGTCCAAATACAAAAGCGCCCTTGCAGTCTTCTCCTGTAGTCTTGAAATACGGTTTGGCCAGGGGCAGGCAAATGTGGGTCCTATATGTTTAAGAGAAAACCTTAGGCTTTGGCATCAGACAGTTGTAAGTTTAAATCCTGGATCTGCCACTTCCTAGCTGGGTGACTTTGGGAAAATCATTCGTCAGATTCTGCATCTAAAAAATAGGAATAACATCACCCTACCCCAGATGGCTGGGAGGATTACATGAGGATATTTAAGTGAAAGCTAAATATATATAGTAGGCTCAAATGGTAGTTTCCTTTCTCCTTCTCTGTTAGCTTAGGCCCCTGCAGAGAATGACAGAATGAGTTACCAACACTAAAGTAAAACAGCAAAAATATTCAATAGATATGCATGGAAGATGGCTAAATAAATAACTGGCAACACTGGCTGTACAGAAACATCTCTGCACTGATTTACTTTACAGTTAACAAAAGGCAAGGAGGGGCTCTTTGTGAAATTTTCTTCTGGATGTCTCTGAATAAGTTTGTATTTGCCACTTGGTTAAATAGAGTGGGAAGACAACAGTGTGCAAAGCGGGGAGGAGAAGCAAGCAAAGAAGGTCTTTCCACTGCGTCCTGGGAATGAGGCCTCTGAATTCAAAGGCGAAAGCTGAGAGATTTACATATATTGAAAGCAGGACATATTAAGTGGACCTAGTGACAACTACTGAACCCTTGACTGCAGAGCACTGATTTGTAAAAACTATTGAGGGCTACTCATATTGCCTATGAGTCCTTAAGAATCGGTTATTAGTTTTACTTACTTTAAAGCAGCAGAGACAGGCATAGTACTTGGCATATATCATGTCTCCTAAGTAAGTGGAATAAAATTAGTAAAGACTTCATAAATGGTTTCCCCTAAGTTAGCTAGCTATATGTAATAATAAAAAGAATTTTAAAAAATATACAGAAATTACATATAGCTGCCAAAATCATTTCCCTTTGACTTTTATAGGATAATTTTCTTTTCATCTTTTCCTTTTATTATCTGATTCTGCCCTTGCTTAATAGCTGTTTATTCCTTGGTGAACATACTTGAAGCTGAATAGGCCCAATTCTCATCTAGGTAGAGTTCAACAAGATGAAAATTCATTTTTTCCAGAGTGGTACTATAGTAAACAAATAGAAAAGAAAGGCTTTTAACTGCTACTGTTGTACATAATACCGCTTTCTAGAAAGAACATCTTCCTCCAGTGATTCCAGGTTTTGGGTTTCCTATTTTAAAAAGCTGTTTAATGCTGTGCCCAGATGCATTCAGATGCCTTTCAAGATATATAATTCTAACATCTTTTCCAAAATAAACAAAATCCTTAATATACCATATTTTCTATTTTTCAGCAAATAAATCATATCGGCAACAAATTCAGTCTAGAAGAAAAAAATGATGAAAAAATGTATAAAGAATAGCTTTCAGAATTTTACTTTACTTTGTACAAAACCAAGAATTAATTCTAATTTGAGGCCAAAGTGATTTGAAAGAATCTCTTCGAAGGAAAGCTCCAAGCTAACAGATGTTTTGTGTTAACAAACAGAAAACAAAACATATACAACACACTGGTCTAAGCTAACAATAAAATGTTAGAAGTATTTCCCGCAACCAACATACAAAAACACTTTTATTTACCATAAATATAATTTGTGTGTTGTTTGCCAGAGTCAAAAAAGCTAATCTAATGGTGAAATATAAATATCTCACACATTCATTCAATCATAAGACACTCTTGGAAGAAAAGTTGAAACAGAAATAAGAATATGATGATGCATTCAATTAAATACTAAAAAATAAATTTAGATGAATTCTATGAATTAAGGAAGGCTATGGAAGACAAAGCCTTAAATGATCTCCCATCCAAAACTTTGTTAAGCTATGACTTTTGTCTATCTTGCTATATAATTTTGGATTATGGGGAAAAGTATTAAATTATGTCAACTCATAATGATATTTCCTTGGCCAAATAAATCATTTTCAGAAGAAATCCAATTTGCCTAATTAAACTTCCAAAGAAGCTATCTTCTGAACAGTGGAACTGACATAGCTCTGGAAGGATTAACTTGAAGTCTGTTAAAGAAGCAGTTAGATATTCCTCCTGCCCTCCCCAAT